ATTGGCATGAATAATAAGGGTTCGGGTTCTGCCTTAATCCTTACACAGAAAAGCTAACGTGAATTAACCTGATGTTAACCAAGCAGTTATTTCCCCATTGTCTGTCTCCCTGTCCTTTCCGTATAAGGAAAGTAACTGAAATGACTAATTTTCTTATTCCTTTTTTTCTGCTTTCTTCAGAACTTTTCTCTCAATAAAGCCAACTTCCTCTACTGGGCTCATTGGAAACACTTGTATTTTATGGAATCAAGTGTTGCCTGACTCTAGAATCAAAACTAATGGCATGCCAGTGATGTTTGCCTATAATCCCAGCACTTGGAGACTGAGACAGGAGATCACAAGGTCAACTCCACTCTAGACTACATAGTAAGTATAAGGCCACCCTGAATTAACATAGAAAGACCCTGTCTCAAAAACAAGCAAACAAACAAACAAAGAAAACATAAAACAACAACAACAAAAAACTAAAGCTAGGAATATAGGCCAGTGTTAGAGTATTTGCCTAGAATGTATGAGGTACTGAAAAGAAAAAAAAAAGCGAATTAAGACTCAAAAGCTTAACTGCTGTAATTTTTGTGTACTGATACCAGAAAAAGGAACTGGGCAGCACAGTACAATGAATCCTACAAACGAACAAAAGGGGTATGCAGCACATGAGATCTGTGATGTGGGGTCTAGTGGCTGAGGCCAGTCTTCTATAGAATATTTAAATGACTGGCGAAATTTGTGTACTCTGTTGAAGAAAATTGAAAATGATTGTTTTGCATTATGAGAGGATGGTATTTTTAAATTTCGTTGCAGTGTGAGATGATTGTCGCCATCATCCAATAATGGTTCCTAGCTATAGGAAGGTAGTGATGTAGATTTAAATCCACTAAAGTGAAATGAAATTAAACCCAGTTCCTCAGTCGTTCTAGCCGCACTTCAAATACAGCTGGTGGTCACTTGGGGCTGGTGGCTGCTGTCATGGGCAGCCCAGATTCACACCATGTTCAATACAGTGGACAGTTCTGCTAAAGAATGCTCACTTAAGGAACAGCTGGCCTCCTAGGGACAAATATTTTAAAGTTTGTTTGAAGTACATATATTGCTCTATAAGCTTATGCAAAAAGAAAGGGTTCAGGAGAATCTGGAAAGAAGAATTTGAGGCTCAAGGGGATCAAATGGCTCAAGATGAGAAGAGACCAGAATTTTCTTCTGATCTTCTTCAATAGTTGGGAAACACATCTGGAACAGAGGAAAAGAGTGAGTTGGAAAAGGACTGTTTCTGGGAAAGTGATGAAAATAGAAAAAAACACAAGAACAAGTACCTTGGTGGAAGACTGAGACAAAAGAAGGCAATGAGAGACAACTTTAGATATCAGATTGGCTAATGAAATTTATTCTAGGAGATCTCTGATTCTTTACTCTTGAAAGGTGTCCTGGTATGTGCTGTCATTCTCCTTGGCCACACCAAATCTTCAACATCCTTGTGTGATCAGATTTGATGATATGATGGATTTTGGAAGGGAAACAACTTAGAGCAGGCAACAGAGCTGGAAAGTGAAAGGTAAGAAGACACTGGAAACCAAGAGACTCCACCAAGAGTCTCCACTAATTATTTCTCATCTCTGCAAGAGGGAATTCTCTGTTTTAGAGATTTAATATTAAGTATTGCTCAGGAAACAGAATGTACCCTGGATGTAAGTAACTTATAAGATAAGCAGAGTTAGGAAAAACAGATTTGAAAATGGTACGGCAATAAAATCTGATGTTACAACATAAGCTACATAATATGCAGGTTCTGAAATTTTGCCTGCCTCCAAAGAATTCTTTCAGTAATGCAAAAATAATAAAATAATGATTAAATATCATACATATACTGAAAACTTTTTAAAAAAGAAAACAGTGGCTCTTAAACACTTTTGGCTTGACCTGGTGAGTGTTCACCCACTGCTTAAAATTCTTTCTTGGTTTCTTTAAGTATGTGGAATATAATTAAGGTCACCACAATAACAATAGTTATCATATGAGGCTGAGGGCATTTACGTTGCTCACAGGATGGCCCTTTGTTATAACACTTCTGGGATGCTTGGGTTTGTTTTCTTTAATTCTCTTTCTTCCCTCAGTCTGTCACCTGCCATCTCTCAATACTGTTTTTCACAAACTATAGAAAGAAACCTTTTCTGCAACTGAATATTTTAGTGGCTGTGGCTCCAGAGAATTGCATCTTATAGAATCAGGAAATGATAGGAAAAATTGGCTGTCATCTAGTTTGAAATACTATTTGGCTTTCTCTCTTGTTGTGTTATTAGGAAAAGACATGTTTGCTTCATAAAATTACAATGTTTTTGCTTTAAATCCTAGTGAAATAGCACTCCAGAAAGTTGAAAGCTTACTACATTGTATTTAATATGCGCTCAAAGTTTCTTTCTTTCTGGCTTCACTATGTTTTCAGAGGAAACCAGAAGAACAGTAAATGCCTGTAGAAGCACAAGTGACCAGTATTTTCTAAATACAAGTTGTGATGGTTCATAACTAAAGGAAATAATCAAGAGAAATAAAAATGATTCAAACAAGGATGAACCTCCAGTTCATTTATTTTGCTTTATTTACTAGGAAAAGGACTTTTTTCCTCCTCTAATAGATGTTTGCTTATTTTAATAGATACTCAAGCTATCACATTAATCTCTTCCAAATGACCTTCTCTGAATTATTAGAAGCACAGTATTTTTAAATTGTTTTAGATTTCCAGAGCCTGAAAAACTACTGTATATAACTGCCAATCTTTTGAGTCACTAGCAGATTCAGGGAGAAGCATCTCACACCAGCTTACACTAAAGGATTATGGTATCACTGGGGTTCAGGACACAATACCCTCCAACAGCACCTTGACATTGGAGACAACAGCAGCAGGAAGGCCTCTCTCACTTTCTGCTTGTCCCCTTCTCCCCTGAAGCAAGCCATAAAATCAAGCTGACCTTCCCCTGAAGTTGGTCCTAAGACCCCACTCCAGATGTATCTTCCCTATAAACAAAGGAAAAGAATAGCCTTTCTCTCAAGACACATGCAGGCCTTGCTTGCCAAGTATCCCCCGTTTATATTATTTGATCAGACTCATCCCCTTTGTCTACTCACATTTCTACATGGCTATCTAGTCTCCGTCAACCCTAAGTATAAGAATGTACACATTTCCCTGCTTTTGTTTCTTTGAGTCTTCATTTCTGAAGGTTCTTGTGTGACATAAAACATATTAAATAAATTTGCATAATTTTTTTGTTACTCTATTTTTTGTTATGGGGGTCTCAGTTATTGTCTTGCAATGGGTGAGAAAAAATGAAGCTTTCTCTCCACTATACTGCCATCCTGGGTGTTAGCTGTACATGATCAGATTAACTGGGAGATAGACTTGAAAATACCTCAAGTTACTCTTTGACCTTCTTTGCCAAGTTAAGTGGAGTGAATGTGAGTAACTAATAAGCTGTTTTGTTAGGGGTGAAATATGTAAAAATGGTTAACAGTGATGTTTTTATTTAAATGATAAGTATTTCATAGGGTTTACCCTAACACTTTAAACCTGTTAAACCTCTATCTCCACATGGGTTTCAAGGATTACCAAGTCCTTTACCATTTCAATTACCAAGAAAACAACTGGGGGTAGAGCTCTTTGTTTGAACATGTGTAGGAAACTGGTAGGAAATGAGGCTTGGTAGAAGGGAGCCAAATTTTGGAAGCTTTTGCATTTTATTCTGAGGAACTTTATTCTCCAATGGGGAGTCATGGAAGCCTTTTAAACAGAGAAGAAACAATATCTTATTTATATCATTAAGAGATTATTTATGATCTCAACCATGGGAGAGGAAGAAGGGGAAAACAAGGAGAAAGAAGACTAGAAGAAAACTGACAAAGAATTAACATTGGTTGCCTCTAGTTGGTAGAATATTATTTTGTTTCTTCTTATAATAGGAGAATGGAGTTAGCTGTTATTTCTGGAAGTGGTATAGTTTCAGACATATGAATAGCTGTCATTTCAGTATTTGATCTCAATACAAGGAAGTGTGGCTACATTTTGGCCTATTCTTTGCCTTTTCAATTTTGTTTATTTATGTATCATATAAATCAGAAATACTATGCTCCACACTGGAAAAAAAACATTAGTTCAGAGAAGCCCAGCTAGAAAGGCAGATTCTGCACCCAAGAATTTGAACCTCAGGGAGACCAACTAGACAGCCAACACACATATTTTATTGGTTTTGAGAGGAGCCAACTCTCTGGCTCTAAGTGAAGTTTTACATTTTACTTTAGTTTAGAGGCAATACCAATTTCATCAAACACCCCTTTCTAGGTCATCTCAAATTCAAGTCCAATCTAAGAAAAACAATGCATTTACAACATTATTAAGGCTTCAACTCGTCTATCCAGCCTTTCTGAACAAACGGGTGGCTCACAGTTCCCAATCTATAGAAAGTAGAGCCATTCCTATCTTGCAAAGCACAAGACAATAAATGATGGAAGCAAAGACACACAAAACTTTGGTCAAACTTGTCTGTTCAAAAGAAACAAGCAAAGCAAACCACTAGCACAAAGTCCAATAACTATTATATTTATAACGAATGGGAAGGTTTATATGGAAAGCCTGCCAAGAGCACTTCATAAAGCAAAAACTGTTACTCTATGAAACCCATCTGTAAAACCACAATAATAGTAGAGGCAACCTTATAAGGAGGTTGTTGAGAGAAATTAAACAATAACACACAGTGTGCTTAGAAGGTAGTTTGGCACATAGTGTGCACTCAATTAATTACACTATCATTGCCATCATTACATCTGGCACATAGTGAACATGCAACAAATTATAGTATCATCATTAGTGTATCTCATAACTTACCGCTTTCTAACTGTTCCAACTTAAAGCTCAAAGATGCTCTTACTTATGTCAAAGAATATTTACTCAACAGTGTAATTAAAATTAGGTAATTTTTAGAATGTTTTGAGAGAAAAGATTAATAACACTTCTTTACCTCTTCATATCTGTCAAAAACTGCTCCTTCTTGCAAAAAGGAAGGAACTTCCTTCTGCCAGTTAAATTCATAAGGTTTGGCCATGATGATATTCAAGACCTAAATATGAAAAAAGAGTATCTCATTAGTATATTAAACTAAAGCACTTTCTATCTGTGCATTTGCAAAAGCTGTTTCTTAAACATGTCCATTAGTTATCTTCCTTTTTTTATTGTCTTCACTTCATCTGATCCCAACTTTCCTTTTTCTTATCTGTAACACTGGAGAAAGACCATCATTCATACTTTCTACACTGTAAATCAGATCCTAGAGATAACTGGACCTACAAACCCCCTCAATATCTAGTACAGACAAGAAAGACAGACTCAAACACAATGTGGTGAAGGTCTAGGACTGTAGCTCAGTGGCAGAGTGCATGCTTAGCATGTGAGAGGCTCTGGGTTTGATTCCCAGCACCAAAAAAAAAAAAAAAAAAAACCACACATATAAGAAAACAATAAAGTAGTCTCCTTGGTTTTCCAGACAGCAGAAAAGGACTGCAGAACTTGAAATGTTCTGTGATCTTCTCACTCCTGCCACTATTCCTTTCAGTTGTCCCCATTGGTTTCATTTTAAAATGAATAGCAACGAGAAGTTTCTATCAAAGATGAAAATAAAGCTTCTATACATTTCTATCAACCTGTGCCTACTATTCATTACTTAAGTATTTATCTTCCCCCTGAGTACTAATTTAATCAAAATGGTGTTATTATAAGATGGGCTTTGGGGTATGGGGAGGCTGATGGAAGGATTTTAAATTTGGAGGATGATGGATTTTGACTCTAATTTCTAATGCAGATCTGCATTGTAAGTGGGTATCACTTCATTGCTTTTTTTTTTCAGAGAGCTGGGGTTCTGAATAAGGAAAGAGGCATTCTGAAAAAATGGTATCAAAATACCCCAAATTTTCTGATCTTAAACTGGGGGGCAAGAGTTATTCTCTGTGCTGTCTCCAATGTACTTCCTAGGGCCTGGAATTAGGAGCCAGGTTGGTTTACCTTACACTGATGATACAAGGATGAGCTACAGACTAGAAAACGTTGACCAATTAATTTTTCAGGGGAAACAAATGATATATCTTATAGTCCAAATGACTGCAGAAAAAGTTGAAGGAACAAAAGGTTACTTTTTAAAGGCATGGAGCAGGGAATTGGCTGTTTGTTAAATATATCTTTTTTCCAATTATTTAAAAGTCCCATCCACAGCTAACTGATTATAAACATGGTCCTGTCTCAGGGTTACACCAGAGGTTTTCCTTCTCAAACATTCTAGCTTGTCTGGTAAGGCCTCACTTACAAGGTACTTTAAAGTTTAACTGCCTCCTCTGCCTCCTAGAAGGGCACTACCTCAGCCTTCAGAGCCCAGGCAAAAGGATCCACCTTCTCTAGGAGGAAAGCTGGAAATAATGGGGGAAATTATACCCTCAAAGGACTGGTAGATAACCCATCACTTTTTTCAGTGTAAACACCTCAACAGTTACTGGAAGGAGGCCAGGGGGCTTTGAAACAGTCTCATTGTTTCCAGATTCTTATGCAACTGAACAGATTAGCTAAGGTACTGGCTGTAGAGGAAACTCCCTGGACTGCAAGAAAGCTTGCTAGGGAGGGGACAAAAGAGGAAAGGAATCCTTGTTTATAATAAATAAATCTCCTTCTAAAGATGATGAGAAACTGGACATGTTGGTGGGAGGAGCACAAAGGAGCCAAGGTGATCTGTTGAGGAGCCAAATATTCAAGTAAGTCACACACATCACTCATGAAGATGGCCTCCCATCTTTTAACTGCCACCATTTGGTTTCCTGGCCAACTCTATCCTGTATCGTTAAACCTACTGTTTTGCTAGACCTATAAGGTGACTTAAAAATACATCCCTTGAAAAACCTACAATGTGATCTTTGAGACATCAGACTAACAATCTCACACGTGCTGGAATGACTATAGGATCAATAATGCTCCCTGCAACGTCCTAGGACAATTTGGGTAAAATATTTTGCAAAGAATTTTTTGTTGTTCTTGCTGGACACATGCCTCATTTTTTGGTACAAAGTGGACAAAAGGCAGTATGTGAAATCAGGTCAGTCGCAGGTACTTGGGTATGGTAGGCTGCATAACACCCCACCCCCTTAACATATTCACGTCCTAACTCCTGTGAACAATTCTTTGCAAGGAAAAAAAAGAACTTTGCGGATATGATTAAGTTAAAGATGTTGAGATGGGAGATTGCCCAGGATCATTCATGTGGATCCTAAATCAATCACAAGTATCCTAGTAAAGGTGAGACAGAGAAAGACTAGACAGGGACAGAAAAGGAGGAGAAATGTGACCATGGGGAAGAGACTAGAGTGATGTGGCCACAAGTCAAGCTCTGTCAGCAATCACCAGAAGACAGAAGAGGACAGAACTGGATTCTTCTATAGAGCCTGGAGCAAACATAACCCTAAAGACATCTTGATTTCAAACTTCTGGCCTCAGACTAATTTCTATTGTTTTCAACTACAAGTATCTCTCTTTCTATGTTTACAGAAGCCCCAAGAAACATACACACTCAGCCTACTAAAGCTGGACGTCTATTTTATAAGACCTAGAAACTTGCCAAATCAATCTGGAATGTTGTAAAGAAGGTTCTAATTTAAAAGGATTTAAAATACATCATTTAACATATGCTCATTCAACAGAATCAAAGGGAGATAGAAATAAAAGTGCAGATAAAATGGAACTTAGTAATGAATTCAGATAACTTTATCCTTCTATTCCAAAGCCCCATTGAACAATAAACATATTACTTTTGCAGAACATTCTTCTCTAGGTCCCATATCTTTTTTAACAACTTTGCAACTCAGCAATAATAAAAATTTTAAAGAAACCCTGCAGCTTCCCCCAAGCCAACCAAGGCATTTCCCATCCTTTGTTTCTATTCCTAAACAAATGAATTTACTTTAAAGTAAAAGAATTTGTTTTCATTTGTAACCATACAGCATCCGAGTGACTAAAAATGCCATATAATAGTTATGAATTTTACTAAGTGTAACATTTATCTTTTACCTTCAATCTTATGACAAAGACATTCCATAAGGAATTAATCTCTTCCTCATCCAATAATACAAATCCTAAAAAACCAAATTACTCTTGACCTTAAATGATCTTATGATGAGAAAAACCAAAATTATGTTTCAAAACAGAGTAGGATAAAATGTCTACTCACCAAAAGTAAATTAGTTGAATCTATTAAACACATTTCAGTGTCTTGCTCCTCAATCTTTAAGTAAGATAGCCTTATATTTCTAAACATGTATTAACAGCATTTTGTCAGATTATCCAGAACTTTTAAATAAATGGCTTTATATAAAGCAAGAATCTAAGTTGACACTGACACTGATATATTATGTCATTAATGATAATTTTCCTTATTTGCTAAAAATTTCTCCATTTTCATCAAGCTATTAAATAACTTTTTCAAATAGCATATAAGGAGTACAGGACTAAGAAAACAATAATAGGTAATACTGAGGGTTGAGGGTAAGAACATTCTTATATAATTTGGTGCAAAGAATCTTCCGATACATTTCTATAGGCTCAAAAGGCCTGTATTCTGTGTCTTGAGTAATTCTTCTTACGCTAAGTAACCGAATGCAAAATCTGTGTACAAAGATACTGTTGTGCTGTTTATGGTAGAAAAATGTGGGTATTATACGAGTATAACTGAGCAATTGGTTAAATGCACTACACATTTAAATACTTTTGTGCTCATTAATAATAATGCTATAAAGGAATACTTATTTGCTTAAAACAGCAAATTTAGAAGAGTTTATATAAATATTCACAGCTTTTGTCAAGCAAATACAAATATCCTCAACATGTTGTTAAGCAAATAAAAAAGTAATATAATTCAGATTTTTATGTGTTATTGTGACAACTTAGATCTTAAAAGTCACCCAAAAGCTCATGTGCGGAAGTCTTGGTCACCAACGCAGTAGTGTTCAGAGACCCCCTGGGAGGTTATGGGATCATGAGGGATCTAACCTCATGAATGGATTAATACATCTATAGATGCACAGCTTGGTGAGTTTGGGGAAGGGCTTTGTTGTAAACATCAGCTCTCTTTGTTTCCTGGCTGTCATGAGGTGAGCTGCTCTGCCCTACCAAGTGCTTCCCACCATGATGTTCTGCCTCACCACAGGCCCATAGCAACGGGCCCAAGCAACCATGGACTGAAATGAGTGAAAACATGAGCCAATAAAACCCTCCTCCTTTAAGTTGTTTATTTCTGCCTCAGGTATTTTGTCACAGTAATGGAAAACTGACAAGTAAAATTTTACACACACACACACACACACTCATACTTTTCTTATAGAGCAAAAGGATTAGCAAGACAAATACAAACAGTAATTAAATTTGGTGATGAAATTTTACATGATTTATATTTGCTTTAATAATTATCTATATTTTAAAATACATAAAGTTACAGTCACTATGATTTTTATATTGAAGGAAAAATGTTCTCCAATGTAAGGGAGGATGACATCTTTAAAAAATTACTTCTTTTCATAAAAATCAGTTTTTAAACAGTGTGTTTTTTGCCAGAATTCCTGGCAAGAACAAATTGCAGGAAAAGACTAATAAATAATACACTAAAAATTGTGTATTAGCTACACAGAACCTCTGCTAATTTTATATTTGAAAATAAAGCTCATTATGCTGGTGCTAGAATTAGTCTTTCATGAATTCTAGACTATAAGAAACCTATGGCCTTTGCCATGTTTAATCTGTGATAAAGCACCACCTGATTCAAGATAATTTTCTGTAATTTATATACCCCCCCACAAATCACAGAATAACATGAGAACAGAAACTATTCAACTATTTGTCTCCATTTCCTCCTTCTCAATATTCACTATAATTAAGACACAAGTGTAACTTTCTTTAAATGTAATAAGTAAAGAATTAGATTAATAAAATATTTAAAAGAATTGTCATTTCAATGTACTAGGTGATATTTTTGATCTTATTATAGACTTCATTGTATCAGGATTTTACAAAACATGTCAAAATATGCTCA